GGAAAACGGCTGAGAGATGGGCCCAACCCATACTTCGATGACAAGGCGGCTGCACAAGAACCGACGGGGAGGCAACGGATGCCTCGACAACTGGCGTTCAATCAGAAAGGAAAATACATACAACAGGGCAATGCTTTGCGTCGACAGGCGGCCCTGGAGGCCATGAAACGGCGTATCGCGGAGCAAACTCGCAAAGCCGGTATTGACGAGGATCTCGACGTGGAGAAGAATTTTGTCGTGGACGCTCCCCCAGATGTAGAATGGTGGGATGAAGGCCTAGTGGACGGAAAGACCTACAACGATATTGACGATCCTTCGAAGCTCAAAATCACGACCCCTGATAGCATAGTGACCGAGTACATCCAACACCCGGTTGCACTTGAGCCTCCCCAGGAGAAGCATGCTGTAACGGCACAGCCCATGTACCTGACCTCGAAAGAACAAGCCAAGATACGACGCCAGCGAAGAATGGCAGAACTCAAGGAGATGCAAGCTAAAATCCGACTTGGACTGGTGCCGGCACCACCACCTAAAGTGAAGAAGGGGAATCTCATGCGAGTGCTGGGCGATGGTATGTGCTCCAATATCTTTCTACGGACCTATGTTTTGGGGCCATGTGCGCTAACCAGTCTTTCACAGCTGCTGTCAAGGATCCCACTGCCGTCGAGGCCCGAGTAAATCGGGAGATTGCCGAGCGATACGAGACTCACATCGAAGCCAACGAGGCACGAAAACTCACAAAAGAGCAAAAGCACGAGAAGAATGCGACAAACCAGCAGAAAGATGCCGACAAGGGCATCCACGTCCTCGTATTCAAAGTTAACAGCCTTGCCAATGGCCAGCACCGCTACAAGATATGGCGCAACGCTGATCAGCTGGCACTTTCCGGAACATGCATTATGCATCCCAAGTTCAGCCTGGTGATTGTGGAAGGCGGACAGTGGAGCATTAAGAAGTACAAGAAGCTCATGCTGAACCGTATCAACTGGACAGAAAACGCTCAGGCAAGAGACCCTGAGAAAAATAATGTGGCTGGGCGAGACTGGCTATCACCAGAGGACTCCAATGGAGACTTGAAGGACATGTCTCTGAACGAATGTAAGTTAGTATTCGAGGGAGAGCAAAAGGCGAGAGGCTTCAAGAAATGGGGGAGCAAGATTTGTGAAACGGATGCAGAGGCAAGAGAAGTTTTGGCTCGCGCAAAGATGGACAGCTTCTGGTCACTAGCTAAAGGCATCTCATGATGAGTACTAGGTAGTGGGCTTTGGTGGGGTACAGCTAATAATACAAACATGCATATCCAGCGAGTCTCAAACAAGGCAGCTATTGAAGCATACCGGTGCCTGTCCAGGTGTACGACGCGTGGCGTATGTAATATTTAGTAATCTTATCATATATTCAAGATATCTGGTCTACATCTGTATATCTGTTGGTACATTCATTGCTGCCTTTATGATGTTGAAGTTAGTGGCATGTGCTAATGCAGCGGAGGTGGTAACAATAGCGGGCAGACGGACCGGAAACGTAACGAGCACAATTACGCAATGAATGACATGCCCTTCCAAGGCAGCCAGCAGCCAAGCCAAAACTTACACCCCAAAACAGGCACCCAGAAGCGGCGCCGTTGCAGCCCGGGAAAAGGCCGGCGCATTCCGCCGTGCTTGATAGTGTGATCCGGTGACTTGCGAGGCGCGCGCATTGCGGCAATCCGACCTTAGATCGTTATATATTTCAAATGCGCTGCTGCGGCTCTCTCTCTCTGGCACTAGGCACCAGCTCCCCTTGTTGTTTTCTCCACCACTCGCTTCGGCCTTGTTCTCTCTTCCCCAGCGATTTAAAGGACCTGATTCGTCTCACAGATCAAGAGGCTTAACGGTTACTGCCATTTCAGACGGCCAAGCAGCGATATCGTCGTCGCAAGCTCTGTTGAAATCGCGGCACTGTAAAGAACGAGAACTGTTGAAGCTTCGCTCATCTCACTCAGTCCCGCAGCAATGGGCCTGGCCTACAACACCTACCTCACCAGCAACAAGATCTACGGTTGCAAGACATGCAAGGCGCATCTTGCTAACCACGAAGACATCATCTCTCGGGTGCGTATCCGTATCCCCCGCCATGCATTGTACCTAAACCTGAACCTGAACCTGAATCTTATGCCTTACACCCATGCCTGCCTGTGATGCTGGGAAACTAACTGGGGATTGCGCAAACAACACAGAACTTCCGGGGTCAGCATGGCAAGGCCTACCTGTTCCATCGTGTCGTCAATATCGACACCGGTGACCCCAATGAGCGTAACATGACCACCGGCCGCCACATTGTCCGTGACATCGCCTGCCATCAGTGCAAAGAAACGGTGGGTTGGAAGTACGACAAGGCTTTTGAGACTTCTGAAAAGTACAAGGAGGGCAAGTTCATCCTTGAAGCTGAGCTGCTATGTAACGTCGCTTGATTGTACGAATTTCACCTCTTTAGCATGATTTCATTAGGATGGCCCTTCTTATTTATTTATTCATTTCCTTGTTTTCTTTTGGCTTCAATAGGCGTTCAACAGATAGTTTCAGACAAAGCACAGCATCCTTGGGCTGGAGTGATGGTTTCAAGAGCCGAATTTAGACATGTTATGTATTAAGACGCCTCCCATTAAACTCGCTACGAGAAAACGTGTATGTCGAATGATAACCTATTCCAAGTCACCCAGGCACTGCCGGTACGCCACAAATCCCGCCAAGCTTGCACAAAATATCCGTCTTAGTTGCAGTAATACATCTGTAATTAGCCAAAAGCATCTTTGTAGTAAGATTTAGTTATGCTCGATTGGTTCTTCAGGGAGAAGCTCCTCAGTTTCTGCGTCGGCACGCAAAAATTCAAATGGTGGCTGCACGAGGCCGTTAAACAAAAAGGTAGAATAGACCAACAAAGCAAATCCAGCAATCTGCAGCCACTTGAAAGATTCCCAGCCAAGGCCGAGAGAAACGACCCAGATAAAGAGTGTTCTGCAGGTGTCAATGGTGGAGCGAGAGGTGGCACTGACGGTGCGAGTAACGGACAGCCCGAAGAAGTTAAAGCCGCTATTAATGGTGTTAGATACAATATCACTTGGTCAAGAGAGCATTCCAACTTACCCAATGCTTATCATGATAATGACACTGGAAACGAGCAAGGCCTTTTCATCCCACATTTGGCGAAGGCCTTCGGCGGCATCGAAATAGCCATATCGACCGGCTTCTGTCCGTCCAATGGCCAAGTGCAAAACAATCATGACGGCAACCGTGGTGACGAAGCCAAAGAGGCCTTCCCAGCCGACCACCTTGATGGGGTCGATTGGGGAGTTTTCGAGCATCCACTCCTCCAAGACAAACTGGGTGGCCGTGAAAATTTGAGCTCCGGCAATCAGCAAAACTCCAATGACTGCCTTGGCAACGTCGGATAGCCCCTCTGGGGAATCCGTGATAGAGGAGACGACATGTGCCTTGACGTCGGGCCAAATAGCACCAGCAAGTCCGACGACAGCTACTCCAAGAACCACGCCCACTAATGAGATCCACTGGAATAGACGCAGCGTCCTCCGCAAAAAGACGACGCTAAACAGGCCCACGAATAGGACTAGCGCGCCTCGGGTCATTTGGTAAATAGACGCCGCAACAAGAAGGAGGCCAATGTTCATCAGGGTGGTGCCGCAGATGTCGCAGATGGCAGGCAGAGCCAGCAGCAGAATTCGGTAGCCCCGTAAAACTGATGGTTGGTCATCTTCAAGCGTCTCGTCGTCGTCACCGTCGGTTCGGTTGGAATTGATGGCCTGGTAGCCACGCTCCGCGGGCGATCTCTTTGATGCAAGACGGCGATACGCCGCAGCAACGCCTACGACGAGCCAGCAGCCCATCTCGCCCACAAACATCTGCGCCGTCTGAAGCACGGGTTGGTTGAAGAAGACATGACGAGCGGGATTCTCATCCTCGCAATTGCGAACACATTGCTTGTCCTATAGCACCTGTTAGGCTATCCGAATTCAAAGAATGCGACTGTGAAGCACGGAGTATTTCCATAGCCCTAGAGGTAGCTCTTTCAGCACGTACTTGATACTTGGTAACCAATGTATTGCAGACACCCGTCAGCAGCATCATGGCCACCAGAAACGGAACGGTGCTACGAGGAATCGCCATCTTGGGCGACGTGGCTCGAGCGAAGATGCGTATTGATGATAGGCGGCTGCAAGACTGGGGCGATTGATGTTGAAATGGCGAGAGTTGGGTAAGAGGATGTAGATAGATGAGGGAGAGAAGAGAAAGAGGCAGACGAGGCGAGGGATGAAAGAGAGCCGCTGCGCCCCGGATAATGGACAGAGCCCCTGCTTATCATGCACCAGTGTCACAAGATAGGTGCAGCGTTTCGGTGGACGGTAGCGATCCCGAGCAGCTTAGTGCCGATATTAGTGCCAATCAAGGAGGATGACATAAGCTGGGCCACGAATTGAAGCTTTGGGATTAATATACGAGCATATGGAGGGACTGGGGTAAACAAGTAAGTCGAAAAGCATATTGATGCTGTTGAGAAAGTCTAATTTCTTGAAAAAACCTACACGATATTACATTAGATTTGTGAATACATGTATAAATTAGTAAAAAATATCTTTTGCAGTACGGAGTAGTGACTACCTCATGAAATCACTTTGTAGTAGGTACTTCACACCAGGCGGCCTGCAGCGATTGCATGTCACTACCCAGCAGGCATATGCCGCTAAAACCAACAGCTCTTGGCTGCTACCTGCATCATGGATAGCACATGTACTCCGTAGGTAGTCAGCCACGTCATAGCCTAATAGCCACTCGCCCAGCTCCCTTTGGCCCATGTGCTTTCGCGCGCTAGGATCATCATCCCCCTTCAGCTCCTTTGAGTGTTTAAAACCAAGCAGCCTCGCATCATGACGCGGACCACAGGCGAGAGCCGGCCTTTTCCGCTTCTACATCCAAACCCCTCTAGATGTCCATATCCGCGCATCCATGGAGCATTCGCTAGGCCCTGCCTGTCGCCTTCGACCAACCCCGGACACGGACGCGGACGTCGACGCGGATAAGGAAGATGGATTCCCATCTGTCAAAGCTCAGTTCTTTTACACGGCCGTATATCCCATCGATGATCCGCTGTCTGGCACTGCTCCCTCCAGCAGCGCGGATTCTAAACCTTCGAAAGGACCGCTTCGCCCATTCTCTCAAGACGATAATGACATGCTACAACAGGCCTGGCTTGGCCTCATGTCAGAGAGCCTCCGTTCACAACACGAAGCCATCAGAAACGGCCGAGAGCCTGACCCGTACGCTGCGAAATCTGACATGGAGAGGCGCGACCAAATCATCCAGGAGCTAGCCTCGAAGCATATACACATCCATAGTGATAACCAGACGCGGGGATCAACGACTCAAGCCGCCGAGGCGCTTCCGGAAACTCTACTCACCGCCTGTTGCCCTCAACTTGCCGTCGACGCCCTAGCAGAGCTTGATACGGCATTTTGTGCTTTGGTGAGGAAGACGAACCCGCTATTCGATGTCGATGAGGTGGTAAAAGATGTGATTTCCGTCATGAACCAACCCCACGAACTTCGGAGTATCTCAACCAGCCGTCGGCATGTACCAATACGGCACCCTTTGTTAACTCGGGAGAGACACGGCGGCATCCCTTCTGACCGCATTTCTCCCTCAGATGATGCTACATCATCTCTTCATGGTACTCCCGAGACTCGGATTCGCCGCGAACGTAGGACCACTGGATATGTTACTGCTAGTGACGATGGGATTTCTGGTAGACCGTTTGTGCGGGTATTGAGTAGTGAACACACCCAGCAGACGACAACGGCAAAACAACAACGTAGCGATGAGCCGGCCATAGAAACCCCGCAGATCGATGATAAAAATCCCGAGGCGAACGATGAAATCCCACCAGAACAGTCAACTGGGATAGAGAACGCTGTTCCGAATCCCGAGGACGAGGATAGGGATGTCGTAGTTGGACTGGCCCGATTACACAAGGTGTCGTTGCAAACGCTGCAGATGAAACCCATATACTGGTCCCCCGTTAACGATATTGCCATTGTGACGAGGGGTACCTGGTTTTACAAGTATGTTAGGTTGGAATTTTGCTTAATTCAGTCGCTAACCTTGTTCTCAGAGATACGATGCTGCCAGTCCCGCCGGTTGTAGCTAATCAGCTGGAAGCTGGGTATCAGGAACTGCGCCCTTGGTCCGAAACTTGGCGTGATGAAATACGATGTGCTATTGAAGTTGGGGCTTCTGGAGAAGAAAAGGTTTCTCATCGACTTTGGCCGATGGAAGGCGATGGAGCATATCGAAATACCCCTGTACCAGACGAGCCTGTGATTTCTGCGCATCCTTTCTGTTCCGCATATTGCTTTCAGGGCGAAGCTGCCACAGAAGGCCATCTTGAGCCGCCCCAAGCAGACAACGGCACTTCCGAAAACATCCAGCAACGCGCCTATTCTAGCTACAATGTCATATACAAAGATCGAACAAATGCCTTTCTATTGAAGCCAAGCCTCCAGCCATCTGCATATCACGGTAGACGGCCCATCCAAAAGATTATGAAGGGAACGAACGTTGGCATTCCCGTTGTTCGGGGCTTCGATAGACTGAGTTGGGAGCGTATGCATCGGGGGAAAAAATCACAGCCCACAAGATCTGCGTCACATGGCGCCTCCAGCAACGGCTCATTAGAAACTTGTCCTGCTTGCGAAGCGGATAAAGATCGCAGCAAGGTGACTGACTTGGTGCTCGTAGCTCACGGAATTGGCCAAAAGATTGCCGAGAGGGTTGAGAGTTACCACTTCACGCACGCTGTCAACGGGTTTCGGCGATTAGTTGATAGCGAATTTCAGGGCCCTGTGGTGCAGGAGATTCTACACAACAGCCAGAGCAGGCTCATGGTTCTGCCGCTCAACTGGAGAATAGGACTTTCCTTTGAAGACGGCGGAGCTCTTCAGACTGGAATGGAGGCGGACAAATCGAGTGCCGCTCAACCTTTCGGCTTGAAGGACATTGAACCCAATACAATTCCCGCCATACGGAGCATGATATCCGATGTCATGTTTGATATCCCCTTCTATATGTCTCATCACAAGGGAAAGATGATTGCCGCTTTGGTGTCGGAGGCGAATCGAGTCTATCGCCTTTGGTGTAGGAACAATCCCGGGTTTGCTGAGAATGGACGTGTTCATCTGGTTGCACATTCTCTCGGCAGCGTCATGGCGGTTGAGGTTCTGTCACGACAGCCAACGATTGCACCACAGCTAGACCTGTCTCGCCCGGAGCCGGAGACTAAGTTCTTCGAGTTTGATACGAAGAATCTGTTCCTGATGGGCAGTCCTACCGGATTCTTCTTGTTACTTGAACGAGGGGCTCTTATACCACGCCGTGGACGCGTTAAACCAGGCGTGGATGCGAATGATGCCACGGATGAAAACATCGGTGGTGAGGTTGGCATGTTTGGGTGCTTGGCTGTCGATAACATTTATAATATTCTCGCCAAGGAAGATCCGATTGCCTACCTGCTCAACGGCGCAGTAGACCCGGGATATGCAGCCAGCCTCAGAACCGCATATGTCCCTACCGCTTCTGCTTCGTTTCTAAAGTCCATCCGAGATGCGATGCGGAGTGTTGTGGGCGCCAACCCCAGTTCATCAGCAAACGATGACGGTCGTCCATCCACCGTCCGCCTGCCCTCTCAGTTGGAGCTCGAAGTTCATGATTTCACGAGAGAGGAAATTGCTGAGAAAAAGGCGTTTCTTCTTAATGACAACGGCCAGATCGACTGGTTTCTCAGATCTGGCGGCGGTCCGTTGGAGATTCAGTACCTTAACATGCTGAGCGCTCATAGCTCCTACTGGAGTAATACGGATTTCATTCGCATGCTGTGTTTTGAGATTGGTAGGCGGCCTGGTCGGACGAATACATTGCCTGCGATGAGGGCTATCAAGACTTCCAGGCGCCAGATACCTACTGCTAGCTAATTCGACCGAGTTGGCACGGTACATTTATTCTTTGATTTCCCACCTCCAATCTATTCTTCTGCGTTTGCGTTGGGTGCAAGGCGATTTCCGGAGGAGTTATTCTCGGTTGTTGATGGTTCTGCTGGGGAAATTCAGGGGCTTGGGAGGGAGATTGATATACGGTTTACACGATTTATGGTATTACACGCGGCACGATAGAATGGAACAATGGGATGGATAATTAGCAAATGATTAATGTATAGACTATCTAATATCCCCAGACTCCTAGAAAAGACTGTAATTAACTAGAGTTTGTGTGAGCATACTGTGAACTCTTGAGAATATCTGACCTATATACCCAGCTTGCATGAGTACAAAACTGCTCAAAAGCCTTCCAGCTCCATCATTTCTTGATCAATGTCTTCGAAATCAGACTCGTATGTCGCAGCTATGCTGCCGTGAACTGGCCTTGTATTGGAAATGGTAGGCGGGGGCTCCTCTCCTCTCTCCTCCTCCATCTTCTTTTGGTGCTGCATAAGATCTTCGTAACCCCAGGTGCTGATGCCCTCCTGATCCTTACTTCGGAATGGCTGCGCCATTGTCTTCAAAAACCGCCGAGCACTGCTGACAGCCATATCTGTACTCAGATTTGTATCGGCATCTTGCAGGCCCTGGTTGATCCATTTAGGTAATTGAGTTCTCTTCTTCTGGAATCGCCGATCAGCCAGGACCATGACACCATAGTCATCTTTTCCTCGCAAAACACGACCCAGGCATTGAGCTGCATGGCGCATAGCATCGAAGGATAAGAAGTCGTTTTCCTTGATCCGATATGTTTCTCGCAAAAACTCAAGTCTTGCCTTCAGGATTCGCGACTCGGTGTATTGGAACGGAACGCCAATACAGAGCACGGTTCGGCCATATTGATGGTCAAAATCGATTCCTTCTGATACCTTACCTCGCGCGACACAAAGCAAGATTGCCCCCCGCCCATTGCAACAAGCAGTCCGATATGTCTCCAGGGCAAGCGATGTTTCTTGGGCGTCGGGCGTTTCCACCAAGATGAGTTTATACTTCCATACTTCATCGAGAATACCCATACCCTGCCACATGCTAATAATGGACTCCATGTATAGATATGATGGGAAGAACACTACCATGCCGTCGGGAGTAATCCTCGCAAATTCTGTTAGGAGGTTACCGTAGTTTCGAACAACGCTCGGTTCGTTTCGAACTTGGAAGCTCGATGAGACTGAGGCTTGGTCACTGCCTCGGGTGACGATCATAGGAAGGAAGGATCTTCGCGCCAGAGTCATACTATATGATTCTTGGATGACTGTGGAAAAATCCAGCATCTTTGGATACATTTCGAGGGGTGAGATAGTACCGGAGGTTATGATTACTGAATAAAACCTTTCAAACACAGGCCGGATGGCGATGGCCGCATCAAGACATGTAAAATGAAGAGTAGGGTTTGGGACTTCTGCTGTGTCAGATTCGTACGGTTCCAAGATCAGCAAGAAGCCCTTTTCATATGTTGCGACAAGAGTTGCAAATGTCGCCACTTCTTGAAGTGCTTGGTAGTCCTCAATATTCGTAAGCTCCAAGGTCCGGACAAGGGATGTAAGTCGCTCAGCACAAAACCGCAATGGCTTCTTCTCGATAAATGTATGCTCTTTCAAATGGGCCAGAAACGACGGCGGAGTTTCTGAAATGACTTGACGCACTTTCATTCTAGTCTGGGATGAAGTGGATCAGTATGGTGGCCAAGGAAAAGAAGAGGTGTAGAGATGGGCATGCCAACCTTGAGATATTCGAGAAATCGTTTCAAAAAAGCCACGAAATGTTCTGCCCTCCTGATATTTCCAGGCACAGCTTCTTTCAAAAGGTCATCTGGTAGAGCTGCAATACTGATTTAGCTATGATTGACCAAATGGGAGGGGCGTCACATACCTGGATTTGCCATGAATGCATCCTCCTGTCTCGCTTCATCAGTTTCACGAAGTCCCTGAACAAGCTTTTCATATTCGTTTTGGAGCTGCTCCTGGTCCGTCTCTCGCATTTCAGCAATTCTGCGCTCCAGATGTTGAGCGCTGCGGGTAGCCTTGCGGATCGAGTCTTCGGTAATGTCGGTGCTAAGGGACTCGATACAGACGTTGTCGATATTGTGGGCTTCGTCAAAAACCACAATGCAATCTTTAGAGAAGTCTTTTGAAACACGCTCCGCAATTTTTGGATCCAAAAGATAGTGATATGAGAAAATGACGACATTGCAATACTCCATCTATTTGCTAACATTAGATGGAATTCTTGGGGAAAATTGATGGGGGCGATCGTACCATGCGCCGTGCGGTGAAATATGGACACTGCTTATGCTCTTCGCCGTACCGTAAGAGCGCTTCAAAGGACCACACACCGTTCGGTATCAGGTTATGTGGTTCGAGGAGATCAAGATTCTACATCACGTCAGTTAGGCCCCTCAGGGATCCAGAGAGAGTTCATCTAAAGCAGACAGACATACATCGTGATAAGTGCAAACGTCAACATTTTCACCTCGGTCCTTCTTTTCTTTGACGAAGCCTGCAGTCAAACTTCGGCAACGAGCATCGACAATTGAACCGCTCTTTTCCCTTTTGACAGAGGGATGAAGACACAAGTTCTTTCGACTGGTTAATCCAAGGCCACGAAACTCTTCTTCGTAGCCTAGCTGTTCGGCACGATACTTCATCAGAGACTGTAGCTCGACTAGAGCCTTTTCAATCTCAGACATTGTTCCTATGCACATTAGGTCAGCATCGATGGACCAACCGACAAGACTGTGTTGAAGGACTACGAACGAGAGCAGTATATAAGCTTCCGCTTCTCAGGCATGTGCTGCTGGTATGCCACAATGAGAGACAGCAGTGATACCGTCTTGCCGGTTCCTGACGGCATTTCCAAGACACAGTGGCCGCCCGCATCGAGAGTTTCTGTATCTGTGAGTACTTGATCAAGTTCTTCGGGGTTCACGGCATACTTTTTAGATCACACATATAACTGCGACAGTTCTTCAGCAGTCAGCCCGCATGAAGGAAGCCATGACAATTTACTCACGCATATTGTTCATTGGGTATGTTAGCTATACAGTGGCGTGCGTGAGAGTGACGGGCACATACCTGGATATATCCTTGGGTAAGGAAATAGCACAGGAAGATCGCTGGGGATGCATAAGCTCGTGAACGTGCCGCGCATCACCGAATTGAAAACATACTCGATTTTAAACCTCATTTTGTACTGAAAATATTACGCTGAGCGTTTCTAGTCGTTCAAACCAAGGTGCACCGTGAGTGATTGCTTTGTGTAGGAGCTTTCACGCTACCTCTGCCCAAGAGGTTTAGTAAGTTAACGTTAACGCTTCGGATTGGCAGCTCGTCATAGAATAAAGAGCACACGCTCCATAGCTAGAAACGATCGAAGCGGAATTTCTTAGACCCACCGGAGGCGCGCGTTGCCACGTGACAGACAGTACCTCAAGCATTACGGGTGTCAACGATTACTCGTGTGGTTTTTAATGTATAAACACAATGAGGTAACTAGTCTTGCTTAAATGATTCTTCCTTCTAAGCTTATTACCCTCGCATGAATTCTATATTACAGGTATATTTATGTGCTTGGTTGAAAATATGTCTCGTGCTTGAATCATGGCTTATTCAGTATCTTGACTGCATCTTTTGAGAAGACATAACTCGCTCCACTCCAAATCGTAGTGGTAGCTACCACATATCTGCGATAATTAGTATAACAAAAACAAATATTGGGAAGATGAATGGGTGGGAAGCCATTAGTAGACGATAACGTACTGCAAAATTGTAAGCGTCGGTGCCAAATCAACGCTTATCAGCGGTGCTGCTGTTGTGAGACCGACAAGGGCCAGTTGGAGGAAAGTATTGTATTTGCTGATTGTTGTAGGTCGGATTTCGGCGGATGGCAGTGAAAAGTCCCAGTATCGGCTGAACGTTTTCGGTGGTGGCAACGAAATCCAGCGATAGTAGATGGCTGAAATGGCCAGCCCAACATCCCTGCCCAGGATAATGCTTGCAACCCAGACTGATCAAGGTCAGCTTCATAATCGTTAGCCACAGGGTTAAGAAAAGCTTCCACGTACTTGGTAATGCCCCCTTGATAGCCAGGCATACTGTCAATACAGTCATGAGGATTTTATCCGCCATTGGATCAATGATTGTCCCCACGACTGTTCTGCGATTCCATCTCCTCGCTATCCATCCGTCCACTAGATCTGAGATGCCAGCGTACGCCAGCAGTCCAACGGCCCAGGTGTGCGCATCTTGGAGTATCAGGTATCCTATGACTGGGCTTGCAACAATTCGTGTCACAGTAAGGAAATTTGGTATCGTGTAGATGTCCTCGTGAATGGCCGGGGTGCTGCTAGGTTTCTCCGCTACATTTTTATCTGTCTCTTTACCTGCTTGTTGGCTGAGCCGTCTTGGAAAAAAAGAAGCGAGCGGCACAGGTGAGCTACGATAAATATGTTAGAAGCTACGTAGGATTCCAATTGAAGGGGACTGGATCTGTAGGCTGAAAAGCCTCGCTGCTCTCCCCCTTCATGCAATACATGATGAACTGGAGTGCCTTACATATTCCTTCTTCTCAGCTCATGGTTTCTGGAACTCACTGATGTCGCCGACCAGATGCATCGGCTACATAGAACCATTGGCCTTGTGATAAGTTTCGAATGCAGCGGCATTGGCCGTGAGATGCGAGAGAGTAGCATTGTGAGAAGTGTTCCGGTATCAACTCGCCTTGTTGTGTATGTATTTGAGTTATACCAAAGGCCGAGGTGAAATTGTTGCGTAACTTGCAAATCGCCTGGTTGTTTTTGGAGGTTGACGTATCGATAAGGAACATTTACGATACCCCACAATCCGCATGTCCTTATACTGCTACCAGACCTACCATAAAATCGATGATAGGCTCTGCATGACATTTATTATAGGTATGCTGTCTTTTTATCTTGTTTTGGGTATGCTTTAAGTTGCCTTTTTTTTATTACTCAATTTTTTCTTCATTTAATATCTTAACGTCATTTGATGGCTGTCTTTTCCCAACTGCTGTAGATATACATATCGCAAAACATAATAATACAGATGCTTTTCCCCCTCCATCCTACCAACGTAGAACGAGTGACTCCCAAATGATCTCTTTCGCCATAACTCGCGCAAGTTGATCCCAAAAGGGTATATTGTTCCTATGATATCTCGTGGATGGGGTAGTTATAGTCTGCGGCTTTCTTAACCCGTCGAGAATTCAGAATGTCGGCCACCGCTTTGTCAGATTCACCGATGCTTCCGGTCTGCCCCAGATGTGCCCAAGGAGCAGCTGACTCTAGTGACTTGGCTTCGACTTCCTCCAGCGACTTGGACATCTCCGTTGTGCCAAACTCCCACATATTTGCCTTCATACCAATGCCGTAAATCTGATGTTTGCGCAAGTAAGCGAGCCACAGCTGAACAGTTTCAGGATTGCCATCTTTGATTTGGATCATGCGCCTCAGGGTTACACGCTCAAAGTTCTCTTGAGATTTTTTGAAGATGAAGTGACTCCTGGGTACAGTCCATCGCTCTGTGATTCGGGGAAGCGTTATTGGTCCAGAAGCTGGTAATCCTAAGAAATATGCCGCTCGTAGCGCAAAATCTGAGAAGAATTGGAGGGGCTGCAAGCTGAATGATCGCAGCTGCAGATCGCATGAGGGGATGCCGAATTGCGCTTCGCGTTTCAATGGCTTAAGGTGGATTGCTTGGAGGGATCGGGGGTTTCGTAGACTCGGTTCATTGTCACCATTCTTCTTAGCTGGTGTAGAATATGTTCTCGAATTGGGTTTATTGGACAAACATCTGAGCTTGTTAGGACGTTATATTACTCTGCATGTTGCCTTATTTTCGAGTACTCACCCAAATGCTGGGGTCTTGTTGGCAATCCATGGCACAGAGGCCTACCATGCTGGAGTTAGACACGCTTCTTTCCAATCCTAAGAGTTTTTGGCTATACCTGGAGTTGCGATAGACGCAGTGGGCTCTGTCTGAGCATATCCAAATGTCTTGTTCGGCTATGTCAAATGGCGAGTTTTGGCGGTTAGCGGATGCAGCGAAAGATTCTGCTACATTCAATGCAGCCAATTGAAGTGGGGGTGAATCTTCGATTGGAACCACGCTAGCAATGCACTTAACCAAAAATGGCAATGGATCATTCTTACAGCTGCTTTTACTTCATTCATACAGCCCTACCATGCATGCAATTCATTCATTTCAACATCGCCACTACAGCATGGTTGATCCATAGATAGTTTTAACGACAATGTCGAGCAGTCGTGGCTTGGATGACTCGGCCGCGGGGTGAGTGTGATTGAGACGTCGTCAAGGTTAAAGTCGCTAACTGTTATTCGCTAGGGGCAATGCGTCGGATTCTGATTCTGATTATGAGGAGCTCCAAGATGATATCGCCAAATTTGATCAGTCAGTAAGAGAGTTCTTGCATTCTCACCAAGAACGGAATGACGCACCGTTTCCAACGCGTGGCGTGGCTAGGGGACGAGGCTCTCGAGGAGCTCGAGGCCCTCGCAAAGCCGCCAAACCTCGAGGAGACATTACGGCAAGGTTGGCCAAAGTCAACCAGGCATTTCTTCTTGGAGATTACTCAAGAGCTTTGGACCTCGTCTCGGAAGTAATTAGAATCAATGCTGAAACACACCAAGCCTGGACAGCGTTGTCGTCCATCTTCCGCGAGCAAGGCGAGCATGCCAGGGCATTATCTGCCATGGTATATGCTGCTCACCTTCGACCCAAGGATGTTACTGCGTGGCTTGACTGTGCATCCTTTGCGCTCAACATTGTATCTGAAGATGAGGCGAGCAATCTCCATACGGCACGGTTGTGCTACTCTGCTGCCCTGAGAGCAGACCCCACGAACCTCGCTGCTAGGCTGGGCAAAGCTACTGTTTGTCACCAACAAGGCCATCTAGCTGCTGCGATAGCAGAGTATAACATTGTCCTCAAACACCATCCGTATGATCTCGAGATCGTACGGAAACTGGCAGAAGCTTGCATTGATAATAAGAATACTGAGGCCGCTGTCCCTTCCGCTATCATGGCATATCGACGTTATTTTGACTATGAAATTGAGAACACACCACTTCACGGGTCAAGCGCTCCGTGGCATGATATCGGAATCTATGTGGAGCTCATCGCCTCAACTGGTGCATATGCTGAAGCCATTTACGAACTGAAAGCGTTGTCCAGATGGCTCGTGGGCCGTGTTCAGGAGCAATACTGGGATCAATGGCAAGCCGACGACTGCGAATGGGACGAGAACGACGAGCGTAGAAGTCATGTACCTCATTTCCATGACTCGATGTTTGACCCCGAGCTTTACGGCCCCTCCCTACCCCTGGATTTCAGAGCTCGACTGGCAGTGTATAGGCTCAGACTAGGAGAAGAAGAAGAGGCTTTTGTAAGCTATGGCCTTCCCAGAAACCATGCCCCACGCACGTAGTATCCATGATCTAACCTGTAAAATTAACAGAGACATTTGAGCTGGCTGGATCCAGATAACCCACGTACATTTGATTTCATCACAGAATTCCCTTTCATTTCATATGACCTTGCAAGCGAGATCGCCAAGTATGGCCAGCCGCAGAGAGCCATCCGATATCTCGAGTTACTTCGGGCCTCCAGCGAAGAAGCAGATGCTACACTCCTGGTTCAATTAGGCCGTTGCTATCTAGCTACTGGACAGCAATCCACAGCAGAGGAGTGTTTTCACGCGGCTATCGATGCTGACGAGTATAACATCGATGCCCGTATCGAATTGGCAAACATGTATGAGAAAGCTAGAGAAGATGAAGAGGCCCTCATTCTCGCTGCGGAAGCGATGGCACTCAAGGAAGCCCAAGGGCAGCCCCCGGGCGAGGCTTCGACAAAGGAGCAACTCCATACATTTTCAATATCAGATCGTGGTATACGGCGCATGGCAGCTGCCCAACCACGAGCAGGCCCTAAACAGGCTAAACCGAAGCCCGCTCAGACGGCCCGTATCCTGCCCAGGAGATACCGTGCAAAACGATTTGCGAATCCTGATAAACGCCATCAAGACGAACGTTCACGCGCTATTAAACTCTCCCGGCAGTATGAGCTTGTTCGTGGTCTTAAGCAGCAGATCAAATCTGGCTCCAATGATCTCATCCCAATCTGGATGGAATCTTGCAAGGAGCTCGTCGACGATTTTCGATCTCTCAAGAGATTCTACACGTGGGATAAATACCTTCATTTTCTTGGGAAGAAGGAGCTACTTGAACAATTCGCAAACGAAGAAACAAACACTGAATTGTCACAGATGCTTGAGCGCCTCAAGCGATGTATGTGCTGCCACCCCCAAATTCTGCCCTAATTATTTGCGATTGTTACGTTACTGACGATTGACCGATTGATAGCTCTGGCTCCTCAACCAGACAGCTTACCAGGGCCGGCGTTCGATAATCATCAAGGAATATCATTCGATGACTGGCTCGATTTATTTCTCGATTATGCCATTGGATTGTCCCTTGCACATCGTCGCGAGGAAGCATACCAGGTATGCGAGTCCGCAAGGGACTCAACTGTGTTTCAATCAGCCCACCACAATTTCGCCATTCATATGGCTTGGAGCGGTATGTATCTGCTTTTTCAACTCTCCGCAACGCTGAGGTCGTATTAACTGGACTAGTGTGCGCTATTAATACAAATGACGAAGAGAAGTGTATTACGGTAGCACGTCACTTGATGAGAGACGGAGGAATATCTGACTCTTCGCGGATGTTTGCACTGCTGTCCAGGTTGTGCCAGTCACCTGTTTCATGGTACACTTCTGGACCAGCCCAAAAGTTTATCTTGAGACAGATTAAAGCAATCGACATGAGCTATGAGGCCACAACGAAGAATGCTGGGAATAACGACCTCGACCAAGATGCGACGGCTGCTGCGAAGATGAACATGGACATATGCCTCTTGATGCTTTACGGCCATATTCTTTTCACTTCTACGAGTTACACGTATGCGATAGGTAAGTATGAGGAGCATTCGATCCCCACCCGGGTAGTGGTATGAGAACTAATGACAGACAACAGGATATTTTCTGCGTGCGTGGTCACTTGACCATGAGAATGCCATGGTCAACTTGAGCCTGGGCCTTGCATATGTCCACTATGGCCTTAAGCGACAGTCAACCAACCGCCAATACCTGCTCCTACAAGGACAAGCTTTCATAAGCCACTATGTGCAATCTGGAGGAGATGAACCACAACTCCAAGCCGAGAGATTTTACAATGTGGGGAGGCTCTTTCAGCTGCTTGGTATTGGCTACCTCAGCCTGCAGTACTATACGAAGGCATTGGAAGCAAACAAGTTGGCAGGTGGAAAGAAGCTTTTGAAGGATATAATCTTCGTCAACGAAACCATATCCTTGCTATCAACTAACCATAAGAGCCTAGCACATGAATTGCTAGTAAAAAACCTGAAGCTGTAATATCGATAGCTATCCACAGCACAGCGTTTAATAATGAACTACATCGAATAATAATCCTCCTGGCAATGGCCATTTGTGGGCTGGAAAGAAAGGAGGATAATAGATTTGGTTGCTCATCGGACACATGTCGTAAAATTTTCATGTCAATAGCAGTGGCGTACATTCGATCACGAGCAATCACCGTTTGTGAACAAAAGAATGATGGACCAGCAAAGAGAGCACGCAACTGTGCCATAATTTTAGACAACCAATTGTCTACCTGGAACTCATATTGAGATGGAACCCAATCGATATCTCAGCGTTATAGTGATGCATTTTCCTATTAAGCCGGCGAGGTATCAATTCCTGCGCAAATCGCGTCTAATGGTTTAAGCTGCGGCCAATTGACCTGAAACTTTGCAAAGATCCCCTTTTTTTTACCACCTGCTAAATCGAAATGCGTTTATGCGGTCTCGCGCTTGCCCTCCTTGAGCTCCTTCTGTTCATCAAGTTAGTTGACTGCCTGGCTTTTTTTTTCGGTCTCGAACAGGGTGAATCGTACCAGAGCCTTCATGGTGCCGTGAAGAGCATGTCTGTGGTTTCGGCGGAACTTGGGGTCGGTTCCCTTGAGGGAAGGGTATCTCGAAGTCTTGGGCTTCTTGATGCTAGAAGGAGTTAGACACACGGCGGACTTTCGTAAATTTCCCAAGAGGTGACAAACCCGTTACGGTGCGCCTTGCGCGACTGGTTGTGCTGGGACGAGTTCTTTGATTCTAAATTACTCGAGAATTAACGACTGCCGTACGAGAGGATCGAAATCGTGGGACAAAAACTCACTGGCCATTGCTGCTGTGGTTTGACTGTGCTTGTCCGGTGAGATTTTTCCAAGTCAAGATTCAGATCGTGCGGAAAATGACGAGTGGGTGGTACCAGCCCTAGTGTGTGCGAAGAGGGGACTTTGCGCGTGTAAGCGAGGCGTGCCTATTCTTAGGCTAGGGAGCTAGTCGAGTTCCCCCAGACTACTGCTACGGGAATTTTGTGGCATGAGAAAACGGGCTAGAGTAGTATTGTATTATTACGTAATACATAGATTAATGTTCATGAGCACATATTTAATCGTATTAAACAAGTATATCATTATATTGAAATATATTTATTAATCTGATACAGTATATTAATTCTTTTGTTTATGTAGTATTTTATATATAAAGTGGCTGTTAGTATATACTTTAATTATTTTATTAAATTAATTTCTGGTTAACAAAATTCACCCAAGTTAGAAACTTTTTACCCACATAAATTACGTTTGCTTTTTTATGCTGTCTGATACCTAGGTACCTAGTCTGCCATGGCCTCTTATTGGTCTAATGGCGCCTAAATCTTGAGCAAATAGCAGCTAGGCGCAGTTTCAGGTCCTAGTCCTATGCTACGCTCGATAAGGCGTTTCGAATCATTCTTTACTCCTGGCATCCCATAGCCGGTCGCCTTTGGGTTTCTTTTCTTCTTGATAGGTTCTCCTTCCTCAGCCGCGTTTGACACGATCCCTCACGGACAGCTGATTGGTAGCTGGATTGAATTGCCTGCCTGGAAGCAGACACATCCCATCTTGCTTAACTAGTGCGTTTCCCTCTTGGTGAGCCTCGCCAGCTTCCAGTTTGCCTTGTTGCTTGTTGGAAGGGACTCGGGCTCGGTCAGCTACGGAAAAAAAAGCGTGGCCCGTCTGCTAACGCGCGACTAGTTCGTTAGAGGAATATGTTGTAACTCGCCATAATTTGCATCGTTGCGGTTTGCGTGTCTTGTCAAACCGTTCTGCTCAGCTGGATACTGCAGGAATTCGCCAACTGTTCTCCCGTCCTTAGCCCCTCTTCTCTTTTTCACTACCCTTTCCTTCACCCCATTTTGACGCAGCCGAAGAATGCTCAATATGTCTGGCAGCCACGTCGCCGGCAATCGCAATAGCACCCCTGAAGTCAATGCGCCCTCTCTAAGACCACCCTCTTCCCGAGCAGTTGGCTCTGGTAGCTCGCTGCGCGCCTCTGCCGACATGGCGGCGATATCAGGGACGTCGCCGGCCAGCCGCATCAGGCCGTCATCCGATTTCTATGGCCAACCACAGCAAGGGGGTCACGGCCCTGGGGGCCTGGACATTGATTCTCAGGACAAGATCGCCCAACAGTGGATTGCGGACATTGATCAGTATGAGACGACGCTGGAAGAAATGGCTGCGGCCACGCTCGATCAGGATTTCAAGGACGAACTGAGCGCTATTGAGCAGTGGTTTCGCGTCCTTAGCGAGGCTGAGCGCACAGCTGCTCTGTATGCATTGCTTCAGCAGACAACTCAGGTCCAAATCCGCTTCTTTATTCAAGTTCTCCAGCAGATGGGCAAGAACCACCCGATGTCCGGTGTTCTCTCCCCTGCGACTTTTGACAAAGGTAGATCTCGTGTGCAGAATTCACTCGCGCATTCGCAAGCTAACTTTTTCTTTTCTTTCTCCAAGACCCAATGTCCAGCCGGCTTAGCGATGCCATGAACAAGCTCAACGTCGACTCTGCCCGAAACTCATTCGCTCGCAACTCAGCTATTTCAACATCCAAGCGACACTCTGGCCTCGATGCTTCCACGATCAATGCCATGTTCCCGGATGCCGCAGCAGCTATTGCTACTGAAAAAGCAAAGTTTACCCAGCAAACAGGAAACCCGCCTTCATCGAACCGTAACAGCGTTGCCATCGATCCCCGAGCCGCACTGACGGGATCCAGCATCCCGGCTGCCACGCCGGATTCCAGAGATGGCAATGTCGCCTCGTCAGCATCGCCATGGGGCAGCGGCGGAGACCCCGCAGCAGCTTCCAAGGCGGGATCATCTCAAACCCCAATGGGCCAATTCGTACAGCCTCCAGCCTCTGGAGGAGGTTTGAGGTCACCACGGCCACAGTTGTCGAGTAATTCTACTCTTCAAACCACCACCTTGACTCGTGACAAAAATGCACCTGAGTTGCCCCTCTTGTCGCCATATGCGACTGGCAGTGGCAACTGGGCTTCCATGGTCAACACACCGATGGCACCAACATTTAATACAAACTCCACTGGCCAGGCTGACATGGTGGCCAACGCAACAGCAATGAAGCTTGCAGCTCTCTCTACGGTCAACAACCGCTTTGCTTTGGACGACGTTCGCAAATATCGAAGAGCCAGGTCCAACGATGCTCCAGGGGCACAACACCAGATGCCTCCTACTCCCTCGCATATCAATATCCCCAACGCCAATGTTGTCATGATTAACGAACATGGGCAAATACTGAATCGCGATCAGCTGATGGCCCTTCAAGCACAGCAAGGTCTCAGTCTTGGAGGACAGCGATCTCGTCCGAGCTCTCCAGGCTTGCCCTTACAGTCTGGCATGGGACCCATGTCACATTTTACTTCTCCTCAACACAACGGCTTTCTTAGCGCATATGATGGTTCTGCATTGATGGCCGGCGGCATGTCGCCTGTCGGCTTGGGTCAACTAGGAATAAACACCCATGAAGGATACCTCTCGGACCACTCTGACATGGCTCGAGGACGGTCACCGAGAGGAAGACGAGGAAGCTCAAAGCCTCCGGAAGACCCTACGGACCCTACTCTTCTCCAGGACATCCCTAGCTGGCTTCGCAGTTTGCGGCTACACAAGTACACAGACAATCTGAAAGATATGAACTGGACAGACCTGATCGAATTGGATGATAAGGCTCTGGAGGACCGAGGTGTAAACGCTCTCGGAGCACGGCGCAAGATGCTGAAAGTTTTCGAGCAGGTCAAAGGTAAGTCCTGATTTCCATCTGATGCCGTCAGATTCAAAACAACCCCAACCAATGGAAACCTGATTCTAACCATACCGATAGAAGCCAAGGCGGAAGGCAGGATAGGTTAATGTCAATTTTTGGTATAATACAACATGACAGCATAAGCGCTGGCTATCGACTATTTTTACATCGAGTAGTTACTATTATCATGACTTATATGCTACGAAGCAGGATCATGAGACCAAGAGTATGTTATCACAATGGAATTTAATAGCAAAATTATATATATATATATGTTACACATATAATCAAAAGCAAAAAATTGAGAACGCGTATTGTTATAAAAATTGTCAAGTTCTTGTGATTTATTGTTTGGACTCCATGTGCTTATAGCATGCTATGTTACTAGACTATTGGCAGTGGATTCTTGTCCGGGTATCGCTGTATAAATAGGTAGGTATTGGATTCAATTTCTTTTCCGTCGCTTGGCAACTACTGATTTATAGAATGCCTTTCGTCCTTGTCTCTTCGTCTCCTGGATAGAAGAATACTTGGACGCGAGCTTTGTGTCATTATGTGCGGACATGATACTTTCTGATAGCGTCTTCTTCTTCTCTCGGCTCCCCAGTCTCGCGCTATATGGATCGGTTGGGCTGGCAATGATTCTGCCCACCTGGGAATAAACGGGGGCAGAAGCTCGTAGGGTTTTTCTCTGCTGCTTAGGGTCTAGAACATTTCGCATGCGCAACAGTTGCCAGTCTCTCTTGAACTCTGGCGTCAGGTCGGTTTTGGGGAGGTCAAACCACTCAGGCCCCGCTGTGTTCTATATTGCGAATTAGCGAAAAGTCAACTTGGCACATGAAGAGGCCGGTGTAAGCCAGTCGCAGTGAGTGAATAAGCTGAGGTTGGGTCGCTTGGTATTCAGAGTAACTATGATGATAAATAGCAATCAGGGGCCACGGGCCTATAGTCCAAGACGGACGTTGTCCCGTGTCATTGTGCCTTGCGGCTAGCTTTCATCTTTATACCAGCTATCCTCCCATAGGGAGAAGGAAAAGAGAGAGAATGGGGAAAAGAGAAAAGAAAATCTTGATTCTTACCTTACCCTTCCGCTGCTCCGATGCTGCTACCTGCGGTCGCGGCACGCGGACTTGTGTCTTCTCCTGCTTAGGAGGCAAAACCTTCCCATCCTCTCCTACGGGCTTGGCCGTTGTCGAAGCCGTCGAGGCTTGCTTGGGAATTATGCGGCCGCCGCTGAGGCGCTCCTCGGCCTGCTGGAGAAGCTTCTGCACGTCATTGTCGGCAAAACCAGCCATCATATGACTTGGGGAGAGAAGATCAAGGCCGCCTCGTGAGAAGTCTCCCGTTGGTAAAATTTTCAGGAAATTGGTCTTTTTGTAGTATGGGACTTTGGCGCTCGTATGCAAAGAAGTGGATATTCCATTACAAGAATTTTTCTGCCCCCACTTCTGTCACAATCGATTGTACAAAATTACAGTATGCAGAGCTATGCAATTAATGAATATGAAGAAACCGAGCTTGCCAGCTCAGGTCAATGATTGGCTACTTGGTAAATGGGCTGCGCAGATGGGAAGCACCTCTGACAACATCACCTAAGGCAGCCCAAAATCAACAACGCGATCGCTACGCTTCGACTCCAGTTACACCGTTACGCGCTCATATTATACCCAACAGTGTTTTTGTTCTTGCTCAAAGTTGCTCAAAGTTGTTCAACCAAGCTCCACGAGTAATCACAAGTACGAGAGATTTCATCCCCGCTTTCAGCTATATACCACTGGACTTATAATCGTGAGAGCTGACGCTGGTATTATCACTATTAGTAGTAGCGTCCCTCGCATCATCACGACTATCACTATCGCTACTCGTCAACCGTCCAGCTTAGACAATGGAATCACAAAATCAATCCGCACCAGCCCACCCTTCACATAACCGACCTACACCAGTGTACGATCCTACACAAGGTGGACACTATGGTTAGTTATTCTTGTCCAGCTGGGCGTACATTATTGGAAGACTAATGCGCCCTCCTTAGGTGCCTGTGCTGCAGTTCGTATACATCGATGTCTGTTCGGCCGAGCCTTTGTTTTGTGTTAACCAAGGATACAGCTTGCCTCGCAAGGCTTTGCGCCCGCAGAGCTCTATACCGGTCCCTGGGCCAATGTTTGTCTTCCTCGGTTCCTATGCTGCGCTTCCACTTGCTAACTAGCCGGCGCGCTCTAGGTTCATCAGGGACTCACAGGACAGTACAAGGATATCCTGACGACGTACTGGCAACAAACAATCAGCCATTTGGAGAGTGACACTCATGATTACAAAATCCATCAACTTCCCCTCGCCCGCATCAAGAAGGTCATGAAGGCGGATCCTGAAGTCAAAATGATCTCGGCAGAGGCACCAATCCTCTTTGCCAAAGGCTGCGACATATTCATCACCGAACTTACCATGCGAGCTTGGATTCATGCTGAGGAGAACAAGAGGCGCACATTACAGCGCTCCGATATTGCCTCTGCACTTGCTAAGTCGGACATGTTTGATTTCCTGATCGATATTGTCCCGAGGGAAGAAGCTACGGCACACGCTAAACGAACTACCACACAGCCCTCCGCCGCGCCTGTTCCAGGGCCGGGTCAGGCGCCAATGCCGGGGCAGCATGCCGGCATGGCCCAGTCGGCTGGACATCCATCGTCTCACCCAATGGCCACCGCAGATTATATGGGCGGACATGCCCTTGCTTCTGAGCAGGATTACAGACAAGCTCCCAACATGTATCCCGGCCAGGCCCCTCCCGCCCCTTATGGACAACCCCAAGCACAAGCGGCCATGTATAGTGAGATGGAGGGCATGTACCAACAATATTCGGCAATGCAGCCGCAACAGGTAAGTGATTTTCCGCCACAGCATTACTCTTCTAATCATTGATAGGCATCTATGCCGTCTGAGGAGTTTGAATAGGGGCCTCCTCATAAGCAGGATGAAAAGGAAGAGGTAATTGATCTAACGCTTACATGACGACAAGTGCTCTTTCAACTCCTGTTGCGGCACATAACAGTCGCAGCCTCAAAGTGGCCATGTGGGTAGCTGCTAATGCGAAAGAGTCTCTAGATATGCAAAATGGACAAGCATATCTTGTAGTTTAGAGAGGCGTCTAGAAATTGCTTTGCTTCATTTCATGATAGCAAAGCGAGATAAGTTGGAAAGTGGCGCAGCTCTCCCTGAAGGCTGCGCGGTAGGAGTAAGCCTACGTTGTGTTAGCTTTTGTCTTTTAAGGGGTTTTTCGTTGTTTTTGTTTATTTTCAGGTGTTCCGGTGATGGCATACTTCTCAAGTAGGATCGGCCCATTGAGCACGTCAACTCGGCCATATTTCTTGTTGCGGATTGAAATATCATAAAATTCTTCATGATTGTCAGATTGCATCAGATTTACAGTCTGCTGAAGTTCGTCAAGATTTTCGCGTAGCATCTGCCCGTTTTCAAGGCTTCCGACAAACTCTGTAAGATAGTTGACATCCTGTGCCAGAGCAAAGACACCATGCCCGTTGATGTGTCGAACCTCTGGTGAAAGAGGGAGGGCCTTTGAAGGCTAGTTAATATGCGTCGATCATGATGTAGGTATGGGGAACGGCATACCAGGATCTTTTCAGCTGCATGGCTTAGAGCATCAAAATAAATCAACTCCTTGATTTCCCTTGGCAACCCCAGAAGCGTCGAGTTCATAATATTGGATAGATACCGAGTGAGCGTTTGCATGTAATTGCTTGGCTCTGTCGGCACACCGCTCGCCAGCCTACAAATGTCTTCATTAGCGCCCATGGTGACTTCATCATCCAAAAACCTTACCAGTCGTATTCTGCCGTGTCAACGAGGTCATCAATTTTGGAGTTGACCAGTTCAAATATTCTCTTCTCAGCAGTCTTCTTGTTGTTGCGGAACTCTTCCGTGGCGTTTAGTCTCAAAGGACCACCCGCTGAAGTAGACGACCTTGCTCGTATTAATAGCTGTTCCAACTCTCGACAGGCTATTTCAAAGTGCTCCAAGTTTATAAGGATCTGCACTATTTGACCCAGATATTGGGAGCTTAGACGCTCGACGAGGGATTTGCAGACTTTCTCGCTGAGGAGCTCGTCTAGAGACTGCTTTGTTGATTAGTTGTCTGTGTTTCTACTTGGGCAGGGGCAGGGGCGGTAGTAGAAACCTTTCGAAGCGTCTCATCAATGATATCTGAGTGCTGAAAGTGATCATCGAGAAAGAAATAGAACTGATTCAAAAAGTTTCGAATATCGATACAGCAGAGTGGATACATCTGAGAAAATGGTAAAACGCATGGAAACCTATCACGATCATTAGTATCTACTGTGCATCCTAGAAATAACAAGCGTACGTAAGCTCCTCTGTAGGTCGATCTGGCGTGAACCAGCTGACGTTTATCACTTTTTCGTAGTCGCTGAGTGAGTTGATAGCCATCGGCATATAATCATCCGTCGAAACGATCTGCCGAGTATTGCTCATGAGTAAATGGTCTTGAGACAAGGACAATTTGTGCTACATACCTCTTGAAAATCTTCGCTGAATCGGCGCTTCAGTAGCTGAGCATATTTGTCGAAGAGCTGCAGGAGAAAGTTATCCAGAGTAGACACAGAATATCCCCAGCCCTAGATATAAACAAATTTTTGTCAGAAAAGTACAAAAGCAACGATTCCCAGGCTGCATGCTTACTTCCATGGTCTGAATGAACAATGCAATGACGCTTTTAATCTTAAGTAAGACTTCAGCATTATCAATGTTTGTTAGAGCCTTCGTGGTGAGGGCTATAGCGGCGGTACACATGGAATCCCACAACTCTTCTACCTGTAGTACATCGTTAAAACCAGTTGAGGACTCCAGAATTCCAGGTGCGCTGATACTCACATCAACCACGGATCGTAGATACGGGACCCGTTGCATCGTTGCCTTTTCTATAATTGCAAATCCTGCAATTCCTTCAAGAAGACTGCTAAGAGAAGACCCATCCTCAGCCAATAAATCAATCGAAGTGGGCACCAAAAGGTCTTTTTGCTGGCGTCGGGTAGAGGCGTATTCCGAGCGAAATCGATCGCTATGTCCAAGGGCATCATGAATATGCAGAGCTTCAAACAGCGGTGTAAAATCAACTTGGAGCTCTTCGTTGTCGAGAACATCAAATTCCTCATTCTCATCTGAAATCAACTCAATGGACGAATTCAGCTTGAAATTCTCCAAGAATTTTTCGTTTTCAATTCGCGCCCTTTGCCTGTTTCTTCGCATTTCTGTATGATAGAACGCAACTTCACCCAGAAATTGTGAGGTCTCACGAATCCGAAAGAGCCAGGTGTTCAAGTCCGACATGACGGCTTCGGAAATTGCCCTTCGGGAAGCAGGAAGAGACTTCTGAATTGCATCTGCTAGGCGATGCTGGGTGGCATAGCGATTCTGGAGGATCGGAACAAGGTGTTCATTCTGCAAATCCTCCAGCGACTTCAAGGCGGAATAGTATTTTTTGCGGCGTACGAGCTCATGGGAGTGGTTCACGGCATGGAGCACCGTAAGGGATTCTCGAAGCGCATCCGCCGCGTCAGCAATATTCTGGCGCACAGCCTTGGTGTTGACAAGGGCACCCTTTTGATCGGCAAGCTTCTCGGTACTTGCTTGAATTGATTGGTTGAGCTTGAGAATCTCAGTGGTGAGGGTAACAGTCCCTTCGCGGACTTCTTGTAGTCTGTGGACCGAATCGAGAAACTCTTCGTGTTTGGTCAATCCGATCCGTTCAATGTCTGCTTCGCGGTCCTCGGAATAACGAGACAATGACTGCAGAAGGGCTGGCGTACGCCGTGAGTTGGTTGCATCTTTAAGCACCGGTATGAGGTGATCTAGATAATCGGAATCGGAGGTTGACAAGATGATCTGAGGCTTGGTTAGGTTGGACCATGAGGATTGCACATGATAGGAACACAAACTTGAGGCACAGCAGACGTGTAGTCGTCTAAAGCACCGTGCCTACGAGGCATTGTTGCATAGTTGCTCCGGTAAAAACGCCCTTTGACTGTTCTCAACAACGAAAAGCGTTGTCGGTAGGTGCAAACACGACCTGTGGCGAAGATGCTATTCGCAAGTGTGCCAGCTGTAGTGTCGCAGTGACAGACAAGGAAGCTAGAAAGAAGCTTAGTACGTGTACTGGCTGGAGCTCCTAATGTGCCGTTTTAGTACCTGGTAGGTACCGTTGGGGGCGCCCAATGATTTATCAGGTACTGCAAACTACGAGGTACCGCTATCTATGCAGTCTTTCCAAAAGAAAATAAAATCCCCGTGCCTGTTCTGGACCCCCTAGTAATATCATCGGCCGTAACGTTGTGCGCCGAGGTACAAAAAAGTACCTGTGCTAATGCCTTGATGCTGTCCGGAGTACCTTGGAGGGGATTCCGATCCAGGGGTCGCGCTACATGCTAGAATGTACCCCGCGCTGTACTTCCAGGCCCTGGATTCGATGATGGCCTCATCCACTCCCAACGAGCTCGTTCCGACATCTCCAGATCGCCGTCATGTCTGGAGATTCAAGTTTGGTGGCCTGCTTGGTCGAACGATTGTCCAGCAGGGTAAGCAACAATTCGCGTCAATCGGGCATATTTGAATACACGAACACTTAACTAACGGTTATCAATCTTCGCGTGGCAGCTACCGCACCTCACCGGAACGAGCAGTCCAAGTCCCCTTGAAGATGAAGTGCTGCATATAACGAGATCGACACTTGTCGATTTGAGCAAATCTTCCATTAATATTATATTGGAATCACTTGTGGGACTACTCGAAGACCTCGCGCGCCCCTATGGCAGTATTTCAGATCATCCCAGCCATGTCTTGTCCTCGGAGATCTTTGTGCTGAGCCTGGCAGCCGATTGCTGCTCTGCTAATTGGACTGGGCAGCCCAATTCGCACGACAATGTCACACCTTTACCATCTACTGCCCTGGGGGAGCGACTTGTTGGCCGAATTTTTGACGCTCTCAAAGATTTGCTGGAACCTATATCCGACAATTACATGTTGTCGGCACAAGTGCTGCTGGATCAAGGTACCGAAAGCAGTGCCAGCGTGACATCCTCAGCTGGTGAGCCGCAACAAGATATCCATCATGACAATCCCGATGTCGAGCGCCGCCTGTCTTCATATTTTGATCAAATCGAAACACCTATCAAGACACTCGTGGGATATGTCACAGCGTCTAGCTGGTCAGACTCATTTAGCTACCTTAGAGAGGTCATATACAATGTCCGCGTTTCTGCAGCAGTGGACGCTACTGCCGAGACTTGGGGCTCTCAAGAGTCCGGGAGAGGGTCGCTTATTGTCATGCGACTTCTTTCCTCCTTCTGGGTGGATGGTTCCAAACTTGGGTTCATCATACAAGAGATTTGCTCGAGCTTTCTTCATTTTCGAAAATCATATCAGAACACTGTCGCTGCTACCATGCCTTTATTAATAGCTCGATGGATTGACCGATATCCGCAAGAATTTGTCCATCTCCACCGTCTTCATAAACGACTTGATGGAGGCGCGGATACCCTTTTTGATATGACACAAACCGTGACTGACAATGGTAGACGCAAAACCCTTCTGTTTCCTCTCCAAACAACTCTTCTGTTCCTGATGCCTGATGTTTTCGAGGTTGCTAGTAACTTGAGGGAGGCCAAGAGCAACAATATCATGAAGAAGGTGTCATTTTTGGACGCATTGCGTAAGACCATGAAGAATGGAAATGAGCAAGCCGGATATTGTGTCATCTCTCTACTCCGCGCTGCTCGTCATTTCAGCGCAGAGAGCGATTCTGCACTTGTCAGCTATGCCATGGATGTGCAGGACGAAGTACGGGACGCAGTATTTCGCCATTCCGCCACAAATTCGCCTTCTGCCCAGTTTGATCAGAATATGATTACTGCTGCTTTTATTACTCTAGCGCATCTAAACCTAGATGTGTGTATTGATACTGTCCTTGATACTTGTATCTCGCCTTCGTCGCCACATAGTTTCAAAGTCGCGGTTATCCAAGCATGCTGGTACCTTGCGAACCAGTCAGACTCTTCCAGATATAACGAGCTCTTCAATGAGGCTCTTCCATTTATTCAAACACAGCTGAAGGTTTGCCATACAAAATTGTTTTCTTCTTCTCACCAAGCTTATACTAATTGGTTTCAGACTTGCGTGGCTGTCTCATGGGATCCGGCGGCAAATCTCAGTAATGAAGTCATAAATATGGCGCGCAGCATTCTCAAGTTTCTTGGTGCTCTACCCACGTCCTTATTGAATGAGCTTAATCGTCAGACGCCGGCTCTTGATACGCTGGGGCCATTTATATTCACTGTAATATCATCCAACAAAACCATTTGCCAAACAGCAACAGAAGTTGCCGAGCGACTCTTTTCAGAGCACCCAGAAGCCGTCAAGTCCTTCAATGAGCAGAGTCATCCCGATATACTTGAGCTGCGTGAGACATTCTGGACTCGAAGGTAAGATGAAAAACTGGTGGTATCCAACATGAACTAACACTCTTCAAGCTCCAAGGTTTTGCTCGAGTTGTGTGAACGAATGGTTCATCCTAGGCTATCCGAACTAACAATTATGCACGACTATCTCAAAGCTCGGCTCACCTTGTTGAAAAACATCCCGGTAAGGATCCATTAATCCGATTTACAGCGGCCCTCCACTAATGCTGTATCATGATTTCCTGCAGGAATTGACTCGCCTGTCTGATGAGCTCCCTGATATGGTAGCTGCCTCGTCCAAATTAGAGACAGTTCTTCTTGTATCTCTTTGCTCCGCCGATATTGACGTCTGTCAGCTTGTTACTTCTTGCATAGGCCTATTTCTGGCAGAGTGCTCTTGCATTGGTGAATTTGCTGAATCTGTCAAGTCATCAGCGTCAATTCTTCGCAACGGCGATATATTCCGTGAGATCGCATCCCCAGGCTTTCGATTCACAGGACTAGTCGCCTTCCAAAAACGAATTCGAACCTTTTTGCGTCGCATACAGTTTCCCACATCGGGCATACTGAACGCTTGGGAAATCGCATTTGATCGTTGGATCTATTTAGTTCAAAAGGTCTCCACGCTACATCCAAATTCTGTTGATGACCGATTATTGTCAGAGTGGCGAAATTTATCAGGCTTCCTCGCGTCTCTTGGAGGGGCTTGCACCGCAGATCAGGCCATTGCCTTGGAGGAGCCATCGCTTCAGAATCTGAGATGGATAGATCGATCACCATCTGAGCAATCCGAAGAGCCTTCGCTCAAACGGTATCTCAAGTTGGCTATTCAACTCCTAGCGTGTGTAAACGTTAGGGTCCGTGAAGCTATGCGCGAAATTCTTTCGAGCGAAGTGTCACCAGTCCTTTATCCTGCCTTATTCAAGTCTCTCGAATCAGAGTTAGAAGTGCTCTTTGCAGGTGTTCTCGCTCCGGCAGATAAGGCTCAAGAAACAGACATAATCTTTGCGGAGCAAGCCGCTTCTTTGCTAAAGACTCTGGTCGAGAGACTAGAAATCCCTGCTGATTTAGGGGCCGCCTCGTCAGTCCACTTGGGCCTGATGACATTGAACTTCGCCAAGTTCATTGACGGGATTGCAGATACTGCAAATACCTTACGAGTCAAGATAAGGGTCTGTCAATTGTGCGAAGCAGTCACGAAGAGAAAGGAGCATTTGAACCTCCGTGATGATGTACATATTCGAAACCAGCTCCTCGAATACACCATTGGATGGATAGATCGACCACGATCACCACATGTGGATCAGGCCGGCGCAAGTGGGAAACCAGATGATTTGAACAGAGTTCAGAAGGATCTTGATAAAGCTTGTTTGCGATCTCTTGCAGATCTCACATTTCGTCTACCGCTTCAGCCCGCTGATAGTCAGTCAGATGTTGGAATGAGCGAGATGAAGTCTCAGATGTTTCACACCTACTTCAACCGATTTCTTTCCCTTCTCAATCATGAGTCTGCCGAAATCAGCAGATCAGAGCTTTCTGCAACTTTAATTGGCCGAGACGAAGTAATCTCCAATTCAGACTTGGCCATCACCATCCTTTCCAACCTCCTTAGCGCAAATATTGATGTTGGTCTCAAGCATTCCATCAATATCGGATATCACGATAATGTTGAGATCCGAACAGCATTCGTCAAAGTTCTTTTTAACATCTTAATCCAAGGAACTGAGTTTAGCAATTTGACAGACTCGGCTGTTAGCAAAAAATATGAGGAACTTTTAGAGGTTTGTTATCTCACCAGACTTAGCCCTTTCCAGAAGCTGACAATGCAAATGCAGCTCCTTACAAAGGATGTATCACTTCCTGCCTCAATGAGTGCAATATGCCCTAGTACAGAAGTCGATGAACTTACAATTTGCCTCCTAACGGTATTTGAACAAAGAGGCCTTATCTTTGAACTGTTCGAGGCACTTATCCGGGCAGAAATTGATCAGACTGGTAAGATATTGCGTTTCTAATCACTCCTTTTAGTAGTCCTGAAAAAGATCCGAGCTAATCTCCCATCAGAAAATGAGACGGAAATTTTGCGTCGAAATTGCGTTGCAACCAAAATGCTCTCTGTCTACGCTAGGTGGAAAGGTTTTGCTTATTTACAAGGAACTCTTCACAAGGTCCTTGAACGACTCATGCTCACATCTCAAGACTTAGATTTGGAGCTTGATCCGACCAGAGTTGGCACACAGGAAGAACTACAAAAAAATGCTCTTCAACTTCAGATAGTTGCGAAAGTTTTCATGGACGATATATGTGCTTCTGCTTCCAATATACCCCCTTCGTTCAGAAAAATATGCAGCATAGTGAGTTCAGTTAATACCCCTTGTTTGTTGATCAATAGCCCTCACACCTCAGATAGATTTCCGATGCTGTTTTACATCGCTTCCCGAATGCCAAATACACTGCAGTTGGCGCATTCATTTTCCTCCGGTTTTTCTGTCCTGCAATTGTCGCTCCAGAAGTAGAGGGACTCGTGCCAACACCGC